GCAAGGGGGAGGGTAATAATTATTCAAATCAACGAATGAAGTTTGATAAGCACAGAAAAAAGAAAAACAGAAGAGGCTTTACTGACCACTTTCAATGCCATAAAAGGTGTCGGATGCCAATGACAACAGTTCCTTCTTTTTTATCCGATGCTTATGATTACGATAGATATACAGTATAACACTACGAAAATCGCTTGGTTGTGTACATAAAGCATATACAAATTTCCACTGAAAATAAAACGGTTATTCTTGCAAATGTAAAAAAAAAAAAAAGAAGAAAGGAAAAAAAAAGCAAATAGATTTTCTCGGTACAGTGTCTTTTTCTTTTTTCTTGTAGATAGATTACTTTGTTGGTCTTTTCCTTTTTTTTACACTCATTTTCAGTCTCTTCACGATTAATACATCTAAGTTTTAGTCTTTTTTTTAAATGCACTTCTATCTGGTAACAAATTTCTTCTTTCTCTTCTATCTCACTTAAACTTAGAGAATAAAGGAACGGTTAAAATGCAAAAATTAGTGGTCAAATTTTTTTTTCTCCCTTTTCTTTATTGCTACTGTTTTCGAAAAGTCTCAATTATTTGCGTAATGACACACACCGACACACACAAAGATACATATGTACAGAAACTATAAAATTAAAAAATTGTAAATTTATATAAACTTTTTAATTGAAAAATAGCCTATCAATTATAGAATTTTTTTTTTCTTGAAGAATATTTAGAATATAGGATATGCAGATGAGTGAATGACCGACCCAAACAGTTTTACCGATTTGTCACCAACCCGAAGATATTTGTCAACAGGGGCAGAAGTGCAGCTGATGGAATTAAACGTTGTTATTTGCTGTATTATTTTAGAACTGTTGTTGTAAAAGGTTGTTCAAAAAATTCAATGTGCAAAACATTGGTGTTTAATTTTCAATAACAGCAAAATAAGGAACCATTTTGTACCACTTCAGTGTTTCAATTTAATGACATTAGGAAGAAAAAGAAAGTGTAGAAGGAAGAGGTGAAAAAAAAAAAGAATAAATCTGAATCTAACCTTATCTTTGTCATACATATAACATTTGGATTCGATACTCTGGTAACCGGCTTCGTCAAATTTTACTTGTGAAATTTTTCGTCCACACATTATGTTCCGAATGTTTTGGTTAAAGAAAAAAAAAAAGAGTATGCTTTAATTGAACGCCAAATGGGCGATCACATTCTGCTGGGTAACGTTTTTTCGGTTTCTAACTGTTACATAATTGAGCGAAAAAAAAAACTGTTGGTGAAAACTGAAAGCAACAGAATCATCAATAATTTTTTACCATATCGATAAAAATCACATGTTTACTGTCATCAGAATTGCCAGAAAAAAAAAAATACGCAAAAACGAAGAAGCATTATAATATAAAAGAAAAAAAAAGCCAAAAATAATACAGTGTTATGAGAAACTATCAAAGAAGCCCGTAAGCCGTATCCATTTTCAACAACATATCACCGATTATAAACAGTTATATATCTGTTGAAACATCAAACAGCTATGCTTCTGAAGTTCAACTGTTCCTACTGAAAAGCTGCAACTTTTCAAAACTGTCCTTTTTCTCTTCCTTTATTCTTTCTCTTCTTCTCCGTCATTCTCTTCTTCTTTCAGTATCAAAGAAAACCGGTTAAAAAAGTCAAGAAAAACCGTTAAACATAACAGAACTGTTGATTATTTATGTCTATCAGTTTGTTAGAACAAAAAAAAAGCAAAAAAAAAAATAAAAAATAAGAAACTCAGAATATTACAGTTAATAACCTTTAAATGATCTGCAAGTCTTTTTTTTTTTTCGTGGATGTTTCAAACTTAAAGTTACAAAAACAAAAAGGTTTCATCAAACCCTTTGTTCAATTTTTCAAGAAGACCGACAACTTATTTCATCAAAACTTTTTAAATTACAACCGAGAAAAAAAAAAAAAAAAAAACGATGGTAAACAGTACAGAAACAAAAAAAAAAAAGTAACAAAAGAATTTCAAATAAAACTGATCATCAACAATTTACACTTTTTAAAGATTCATCAGTCTTGTATCACCACAGGTTACGCCATTTAATTATAGGTTGATAATCAATCAAAAAAATTTTTGGTATCTTAGATGAAATTTGTGTGTTCTGCCAAACATCTATTTTTAATATTGTCAGTTAGCATAATTAAAAATAATAATAATAATAACAATAATAATAATAATAACACAAAAAACTGTATGAAACATAGATTAAATGCTGGCTTTTTTTTTTTTTTTATTTTTCAGTGAAGAGGGATGTTTATCATAGAATATTCTGACAGTTTCAATAAAGTTACCCAAACATTACTATGAGTGATTAGTTTTCAGTAAAAACAAAAAACCTCCGATTTCAACACTATTATATTGAGAAAAAAAATTCAAAATGCTTTCACTGTTTTTTTTTCTTCCATTTTTTTTCTGTTTTC